TGCCTAGGCTTTCCCAGGGCTGCTTATCTGAGGAAGACTGAGACCCACCAAGGCCACCATTAGATATCCCAGGCTGGTAAACCAATGTACGGTGACCATACCTTTCCTGGGTTGGTTGCCAGCTCTTGGCATAACCATGAATTATTACCTGCAGCAATAAATGCTGGATGACAGAGTGCCCTGTGTGCTATGGAGAAGCTGAAAAGAACCACCACACAAATTACAAGGAAACTTAAAACTTCATGCATAACGCATAAAATGGCATTTTTGGGTAGAATTTCAGGTGAACTTGTGTGGGCTTGTCACAGCTGCCATATGTACTTTAAAAATTATTCTTAGTATTTCAAATGCAGTGATATCCAGTGTGCCTGTAATTCACTTTCAGCAGCAATGTAGTGTTACCCTCACCAGTGGCAGTCTGTCAAGCTGTCAAGATTATGCCTATAATGTTTTAACCTTTTGCCAAAGGCTTTAAGAAACAAAAAACCAAAGCAGATGTTGAACAGAATAGATTGTATCTTCCTTCTTGTTCCTACTTCCCTTTCACTATTTTAATTTTTTCTGATCTTCTTTCTCATTATTCTTAGATGTCTTAACTTCCCTCCAATTCTTCAACCTTTCTTCATTTATTTTATTTAAAAAAAATTTACTCAAATTACATCATGACTACACATACTTGTCCTCTGCCAGGAATGCCACATGTCCCAAAGTCTAAACTGTCTGGACCTTCTAATGCCCCACTCCAGCTCACCTTTCTATAATGCTTCTGTTGATTACGTCTTCCCCGTGCACTCACTTACTCAGGTAGCTTCTTTCTATTTCTGTTAAATTATTTGTTTAGATGTTGGCACCCCGACTAAACTATGAATCCCTTTGAGGACAGGGACCTTGTTGTATTCCTCTCATGGTCTCAGTGTGTGGCACAAAGTGTTTGCTAAGTAAATGAAACGATGGTAGGATGAATAGAGCATGTTATTTAAAACTTACTGTGAAGGATGGACATATCTGTGATAAAACAAGTTTAGTAAAATATTAATGAAGAATCTAGATAGTGAGTGTTGATTGTAAAATTCTTTCAAATTTACTTTATATTTGAAGCTTTTTATTATTTTCATACGAAATATTGGTAGAGGACCATTACCTAAACCCTGGTAGTTAAAACAATTCTCAGATTCTACCTGTGGCTAATTTCATCCATAGAGACCCAACTAAAAAACTACTTGAGATCCCGAGAGATGTTCCCTAACTATCCTGTCTTGTGGTAGGGCTAACTTGGCCTTTTAGTAGCCTTCCGTGGAGAGTCAAAGGAACCTGATTCTTCAGGAGCAGGTCCTCATCCATTCTCCTGGATTCACCAAAATCTGCTACTTCCTCAGCTGGACTTCCCTGCCAACTTTCCTGTACTAAGCATTTCTTTTCTCTCTGAGAAAAGAAATCAGGCCATTCTTGCATTACTTCCACGCAACAGCCTCTTTTGAGACCCATGTTATCTGCCCATTCCATTTCTCTGTGAATGACAATTTATGATCAAGCTCAACTATTTTATCCACTTTTCCCAAAGTATACACCAGGCTTTTCCAGCTACACAGTACATCTGGCTCACAGACAACTTAGTTGATAAAGCCTTTCTTGGTCCAAAAGGCAAAAGTCATTGATCTTTGATTTGAGCAGGAGCAAACATAGCACATGGCTAAACTGTGTCACACGATACATTCTGCCTTTCCTTTTAAAATAAAAAAATTAATTAGGCATGGTGGCATAGGCATATAATTTCAACATTCAGGAGGCTGAGGTAGGGAATCAAGAGTTTGCAGACAGCATGGGATATGCAGCAAGGCCCTGTCTCAAAACAAAAATAAAACAAACAGTTTTTTGAAATTTACTTGCATATTTGACTTGAAAGACTATGAACTTACAGATGTATTTGAGTACATTCTTTGAGCAATAGCAGAGACTGGCCACAAAAAATAATTCAATAATTAGCTCAAATGATTAAATGAACAAATAGTTTCATGTGCTTAAATGCATTCCACATATGCTATTGGGAAGTTAAAAGGAACACAATATGTTATGACACATACATATATTGATTATACTTTAAATCTAATTTTATAAATGAGAGGGATTGTCTTTCTTTTACATAAGTCAACAGCTTTTGGTAATAATATTCTAACATTAGTTATATTTCTCAGGATTAATAATTTCCTAAAAGTTTCTTTATTTACTGAGAGGTCTGAAAATACTGTCTTAACTTCTTACTTCAGATTCATAATAATGAAAAGTGATTTAGCTAGGCAGATTAAGCAACTATTTGGTTTTCTCTAAATAACTGAAGAAACCTCAGATTAATACCTATCAATATCAGGAGATTTTCTTGAAGGCAGAAATAAGTGTAGTTGCAAATGATACTGTGCCCACTCTGCAAACAGTATTGCATCTTCAGCTGCAAAGCTTATCTATAATAATTTTACACTATAGGTATAAACTATAAAACAAAGCTGCAACTATAACTTCAACATATGGACTGTTGTGGGCATGTCAAAAGCCCGTTCTTTTAGAATGACTAAAGTTGAATTAGGCTGATGTTCATTCAGAAGTGTAATGTGTCTCTAATTCAAAACTAGAAACTGTTTGCATGTTAAAGTATCCTACTTATTTTTTTTTGTTCTTCCTTCCCTTCTTCCTCTCCCCCCTCCCTTTCTCTATCTTTTCTTTCCTTCCTTTATTTTATTTTTCATAGTAGAGAACCCAAGGCCTTGCACATGCTAGGCAAGTACTGCTCTATTACTGAGCTATATTCCCAGCTCTGTTAAAGAATTCTACTGAAGTAAGAATAGAATGTAGCTAGGTGTGGTGGTATATGTTTACAATCCCAGCACTTGGGAGGCTGAGGCAGAAGGATCATGAATTCAAGTCCAGCTGGGGCTGCATAGCAAGACCCTGTCTCTAAAATACAACAACAACAACAAAAAGAGCATGCAAATATAGTGGAACCTGACATGCCTTTTGTCTCTGCCAAATCTGGGTTCAAATTCTAATTCTATTACTTCCTAGTCTTGTAATTTGGATAAGTCACCAACCTTCTCTGTGCTTCAGTTTTCTCATCAGTAATAACAACTCTCAAAAGATCACTGTCAGCATTATAGAAGATACACACATACACATACACAGAGAGATGTGTTTTTGTATGTGACACATTGATAGGTAATATATACAAAGGGTCTAATGTAGAGTAGTTTCATATGATAGTTCTGTCTTCCACTTAACCTGTATCTTTAAGCTCTAAAGGAAAAATGGACTTCCCAAATCCAAGACAATGAATGCTAATAACTTACAATTTATAAAAGTTGTTTGCCACAGTTCATAGAAAAGAGTATCTTTATTTAATTCATTTAAAAGATACAATTTTTCCAAGAAAACTACTGCTTGCCATGGATTTTGAGCTCTTCTCAATAGACGAGAATCTAAATTTCCAGAATGTATCCCAGGGACAAAAAAATAAGTAGATGGCATTAGAACCAGGGACTTTGCAAATTAAGTTGTGATTCTGAATTAATGTAGGAAAAGGACATACTGTTTTGAAAGAGTAAAATACATCACAGTAAGTATATTGTGCTGAGACTTCGACATAAAAATACAGACCTTTGGCAAAGAGACAAGGTCTCTGCATGCTGCCATGCAAGTTGATCACTCTTTTTATAACAAAATCCTAAGCACACTTTAAAACAGCCTTTAAATTGTACAGATCTGACCAAAAGGCATAGATTTCTTTTGAGAAGGTTTATATCATTTTTACTTGTATATTTATGATAGTTTTTTTTTAAAAGCAGGGTCATATAGCTAGAATTCTTAAATAACTTAAATTCATGGTTTTAGATGTCATTCATGTGCATGTATTAGATAATGGGTCCATTTTACGTGAAAAAGTAGTCTGAACATCCTGATCAACGCCAATCTTGCTTCCATATTCTTGATGATTTCTTTTTCTTTTTTGGGAGGGGTGAGCAGTGTTGGGGTTTTAACTCAGGGTCTCAGACTTGCTACACAGATGCTCTACCACTTGCACCATGCCCCAAGCCCTTTTTTACTTTGTTTTTTTAGAAAGAGACTCCTGCTTTTTGCCCAGGGCTAGCCTGGACCACATCCTCCCGCCTATCCCTCCCATGTTGCTGGGATATACACTACCAAATTTGGCTTGTTTGTTGAGATGGGGAGAGTCTCACTAACTTTTTGCCCCAGCTGGGCTTGAATTATGATCCTCCCAGTCTGTCTGCTTAGTAACTGAGATTACAGGCATGAGCCACATGCCCTGCCTTTATTCTTCATAATTTCTGACACAATGCTTTGCAACTAGTAACATTCAAGATATTTTGAATGATGACTAAATGAATAAAGAAAGTACTTTTATTTAAATAAAAGATAAGAAAATTTAGGACTTTGGCTGGAATCTGCCTTTAACAAAGGGATTTTCCAATATATCAGAAAAAAAAACATTACATTGTGTGAAGACACTCATCCTCCTTTATAAACAGCTAGGTAATTTTTCACTTTTCTACAATGAGAAAATGAACATTCACAATACAAATAGTTTTAAACACAGGGTTTCATTTTATGCATAATAAGCATGAGTTGATCTTCATAATGCTAGAGATGCATTGTCCTATACAAAAAATCTTCATTTTCAAGAGTGGCTGATTAGAAATCATCTCTAGGGTGCTAGTATAACAACACTAACTGGGGCATTAACTTACAGATTATGCACTCGAATCTCTCACTTTATGCATAGATAAACAGCTCCATAGAGATGATGTGAGTAACAAGGCATATAGTCAGTGAACAAGGCAGGATAAAACCTAGGTTTCCTGGTTATGGTGCAGCACACACAGCTCACATACATGCTCTATACAACCCAACCCTAACGTGGGCTTATGGGGCTCCTTGAACCCTGGAAACAAGGTGAACCAGGAGAGACCACAGGCCTCTTTCTATGAGAAACCTACCTTCAGTACTGGAGATGGGAGTACTGTCACATTTACTTTCACACTGCTGCATTGATGGAGGCCGCGCAGTTTCTGGACAGTCACTGGATGCCTGTCCAGTATAGGAGAGGCACTGTACTGTGCGCATCTGCTGGCCAAGGCCACATTGAGCGGAACACTAAATCCCAAGACAGAGAAACAAATATTGATTTCAGGAGGTAAAACAGACACCGTCTCAAATACTGCACATACTGATTTTTAAAGACCATGTGTGGTTCATCTTTTGAGAGGTGTGTGACTAGGCCATTCTACTGCAGAACTGGTGAACTCTAACAGGAGAGTAATGAGAAAATCCTAGTGATGACGTAGAATAAACAGAGATTCTCGAACTGGGAGATTGACATTTGCTCTGCAAATGAAACCAAACAAATGTTCAGGTACTGCTACGTTCTAGCAATACTGAACTTTGGCCAGAAGTTTGGTAACTACTATTATGAAATGCCTTTTTTTTTTTATATCAGTACTGGGAATCAAACCCAGGGCTCTGTGCATGCCAGGCAAGTGCTGTACTACTGAGCTACATCCCCAGTCCTGAAATGCCCTTTTTAATAAGTGATGGCAGGCCCAGGCCCAGGCTGGCCTTGAATTCACAATCGTCTTGCTCTATCTCCCAAGAACTGGGATTACAGATAGTCACCACCTTGCCAAGCTATGGTATTATTTTTTAAATATAATTTAATAGACTTCCTCTTTGACATTTAGAAGAATAATACTTAACTTTCCTTCTACCCAAAATCTATCAATGTTTTTTTAAATAAAAAAAATTCAAATTGACAGATAAAAATTGTATGCATTTTTCATGAATAGCTTGATATTTTGAAGTGTATGCTCATTTATTATAAAATGACTTAATCTAGATAATTAATACAGACATTACTTTACATAGTTATTATTTTTGTGGTGAGAATCAATCAGTTTTATAGGATTTAAGATGGCCTACAGCAAGATAATACAAATTAATAGTGTCTGAGAAAGAAAGGAAAATAGGAGCTGGAACACAAGATGAAAGTGAGTCTCATAAATATATGTATCAAAAACCCTGTCCTATACCTGGCTTCTCGATTCACAGCATCCATCAGAGGAAAATAAATTATTTAAAGATAAGTAGTAATATTTCTAAGATTGTTAGTCACATTGTAAAGCTAATTAAAGTCACCAAAACTTCTCTGTGATCTTAGAAGGAATTATCTCTATTTTCTAAGTTGGTATTAACTGATTTGTTCTTGAATTATTTGAGAGACTATTTAGGACTATCCAAAGCTTTGGTGTTCATTCAAATCTCTGGCCATGGAATCTATTTCTCTGCTTACTTTTAACTTATAATGGTAGGATACAAAAAGTGGGTAAAATTGGATGTGACACTGGGCATGGTGGTACATGCCTATAATCTCAGCACTTGAGAGGCTGAGGTGGGAGATTGTGAATTCAAGGCCTGATTGAGCTACATAGTGATTCTGTCACAAAAACAACAACAACAAAAAGAGAAAGAGAGAGAGATTGAGAAAGAGAGAGAAAAGGACGTGTATAGGTGTGTATGTGTCCTCATATGGCAGCTGTGACTTGTGCTCTATTTCACAGTCAGATCTCATGCTTAGATTTCCATGTGTTTATTGTTACTCGTCTCTCAAGGCCTTAACAATGATCAAATTAGGAACCTCAGGTTTACATCTCAAGGTTTGTCAGAACCACAGCCCAGCTGCATTACCTGGCCCCAGTCTCCTGTCACCCAGCGAGGAGGAGGGCAGCGGCCCAAGCTGCAGCGGATGCGAACAGGAGGCTTGCCTTCCTCTGGACATTGTGCAGCTGGGAATGTTTTAGAAAGGTCACTGCTCTTGCACAGAACAATCCGATGCTTGAATCCTGGACCACATTTTGGAGTACACTGAAAATAAAACAAATACTAATGAATAACAACAGTTTAAAGACAGAAAAAATTGAGAAAAGTCTTTTTTAGAAGTAAATGTGCTTATGTAAACAATATACATACACACTAAATTCAAGGCAAAAGCTCTCAGATATAAAATTCTTTAGAAGTTTTTAAGCAGAAGTACTTTGATCTTTTCCCTAAGGTCTTTAAGAGCTAAATCCAATGTTTGCTTTTCTTGGCTAACTTCTTTTCTTCTTCTACTAGTGTTAGGTTTATTCCTCTATTCCTCCCTATCCTTGGCTTCATTCAGCTGTGATAAGATTCTGCTAATTTTTGGAATGTGGAATCCTTCTTTTCCTACTTGCTGGGTGCAGTCCTCTAGAAGAATTTTTATGTTTTTAGTAGACCACAAGAACTTGTCTTTGTGAAGCAAGTTGGGGGTGGTGTAGATCAACTATTCTTATATGGTCACAGGTGAAGGCCTATTGCACAGAAAATCTCTCGACTTTTCCTGGTCCATTAATTACAAACATAATGAATTTGACTGATGTTTAGAATTGGGTCAGCGTATTCTTCACTCTGTAGAAAAGATGCTTCTGCATGTGTCATAAGTCCTATTATTTAACTCATCTCTAGGTGTTTCTGTAAGTCACCTATTTAACATGATAGCTGACGAAGTCCTTTAGCTTTCTCCTCCACATGCTAGGCCCTTCCTTAAAATCTAAATTTCCTCTCAGTAAAGTGAGGGTCTGACCCACAACAATTGGAAAGATTGTATATGTACCGTTTGTTCAAAACACAATTCCTGATCTCCTACATAAACTACACAAAACCAGGGGACATAAAAGAATGAGATGGTTTCTACCCTCAAGGAGCTCATAGTCTTTATTCAGGACATAAACATGTGAAATAGGTGTCCTACCAGTAGACATACAGCATATAAATTCTTTGCATTTAATCACCATCAGCTTGTTTTATAATTGCTTATGTACATGTCTTCTCATCTACCACACTAGAATCTCTGAAAATTATCCCCTTTATTTCATCATTATACCCTTCTCTCTGGAAAAATGATGGTTTTCATTTACCTAATGATGGCTATGTCTTAATTAATACATTATTATTTTTTTTCAATGCTGGGAATTGGAACCCAGGGCCTTGTATATAACTATACTCTATCACTGAGTTATACCTCTATCCCCTGCACACACTTTTGAGTGGTTTTGTTAGGGGCAATCTTTGAGCCAGGTATATATCATAGAAAGGGAGAAAAACACTGACTTTTCAGGCAAAAAAAAATCAAGGATTCTATTCAATCTCTTTATCTCACTGAACGTAGTAACAGCATGCATTTTGAAGGAGATTGCATACAGTTCCTTCCAAAGTAACTCCAGAAGAGGTGAAAGTTAAGATGAAGAGAAAAATTCTTGATCCCTGGTACTCCTTTCACAGCCAAATCAACCCATGACCTTTCCTGGTGCTGCCTCGCTCTACCCATATAATCAGTCACTAGGTCTTATGAATCAATCTAACTATATCTCTCACATCAGCTGATTTCTTTGTATCTCCACTGCCACTAACCTTACTTCAGAGAAACATCATTTCCCACATGAAATTTTGCAACTACTCCCTAATAACGTTCCTGTTTCTTGCTCTTGCCTCACTCCAATCCACTTTCTGAACATCAGAGGGAACTTGCTAAAGCACAAATCTGATAAGATTGCCTTTTGTTTTAAAAAAATCCTTAATGGCTCACTATTGCTTTCAAACTCTTTAAATATATTTATTATACCATGATAGTAAGATTCTTCTTCCCTCTTCTGATTCATCTCTCTGTATTTCAGCCATACTAAGTATTTGCAGTACTGTCTAGAGCTATCCCAGCGCCAGGCACAAAGCTAACACTGTGGCTGCTGCTGCTGTAACTACAATGACTGTTACTCCTACTACCAACAGCAGCTGTTATTTAATAAACACTGTACATAGCAATATTATGCTAAGAGCTATAATTTATGGACTCCTTATAAAACTCCTGTGAGATGATGATTATTAGTCTATTTTTTAAAATAAGGAAACAAACAGAGTGATTCATAGAAAATTCTACAGGTATTAGATATTTCTAACTCTTAGTTATGCTCTTAGTAATTAGATATGCTAACTCTTAGTATTTCCTGGATGTTAGGCCTTATACTGTGTACTTTGCAAATATTGCCTAATTCAATCCCCACAACAACCTATCACTTTATATTTCAAGAAACTAAGACATGCAGTATTTTTTGTGGAAAGAATAAAAGCCTTAATCCAAGTCTCTCTTGAGTTTGCCTCACTTACGACTCTCTTAACTTCACCAAATCTCTCCATTTTCAAACCAAAGCCTTAAAGAGTTTCTGTTACCCTCTTACAGCTTGATATTATCATTAGTAATAATAACGCTACTATCTTACATTCTATTAAGGCTTTACAGTTTGCAAAAAACTTTCAAATACATTAGTAAACAAGTTTTTGAGAATTGTTACAGATGAGGAAAGTGTAAATGGCTTAATGAAAGGTAAACAGGTAAGAAATGATGGAGCTACAGCTAAATCCTAGGACTTCTAACTCATTCTTTAGGGCTTAGGGTATTAACAGGATACTCTTAGTAATGACAGAAACAAATTTGTAAGAATACATAATAAATCTTAATTATTATAAAAATAAATTGAGGTGAAACATAAAGAAGACCCCTTCATACTTTAAGGAGATAGGTAGGGAACACATAAGCTGTATAAGATCTTAGTCTTTGTATTTTCAGGTTAAAATTACCTTCTAACTTGGGAGCAAAGACTGAAAAAATGCACTGTCACTCCCCAGCCCTTTTTACATTTTAAGGTCATGTGTATGTACATTAAAGGCTGAGACATGCATTTTGCTTACCGTAATATCTTTTTCCAGTAGCAAACAGCTTCTGCTAGTATTTTAAGAATGTAGTAATATCTAGCAGTCTTTCCTACAAGTTTATGCCAAGTCCTGCTTACAATTAAGGACAGCAAACAGACAATTCATTTGTCTGTGTCTGAGAAGTCCCAGGAAACCCAAACCAAACCAAAATAAATAAGGTTGATAATAAGAATAAGAAGAGAAACTAGCAGTAGTATTTATTAGGTATCAGGAAGTGCTCGAAGTCCTTGGCATGTAATGATCTACTTAATTCTCACAGAAACCCCATGAAGTAAAGCACTGTTATCATGCCTGTTTTACAGGTGAGGAAATAAAGCATTGAGAAGTCCAGATAAATCCAGTGGCAGTTTCAAATTAGAGTAAAGCTCTGAAAAACAAGCATCAAAAGACACAAACCATCTGCTGGACAATGCATGGTTACTGTAGAGTTAATTATACAATGCCTTCTACTTAGGCAAGAAATTGTTTTAGAAAATTACACCCAAAAATCCACTAAATAACTAAGGATATTCTATCCTACAGCAGTAGAGGTAGAGAGATAACCAACCAGATTCTTAAAACATGGAACGGCTGAAAACTACAGTAGTTCCCCCATTTATCTATGGTTTTGCTTTCCAAATTTTTGTGGGCTGAAAATATTAAACGGAAAATTCCAGAAATAAACAATTCATAAGTTTCAAGTCACACGTCATTCTGAGTAGTGTGATAGAATCTCAAGCAGTCCTGTCTGGGACATGAATCATCCCTTTCTCCAGCATATCTGCAGGGTATGAACTACAGCCTCATCCCTAGTCATTTTGTAGCCATGTTGATTATCAGATTGACTCTTGTCATAATACAGAGTTTGAGTTCAAGTAACCTTTATTTTACTTAATAACGACCCTCAACCTCATAAAACTAAAAAGCTTCTGTTCATCAAAAGAAATGGTCTCTAAACTGAAGAGAACACCCACAGAGTGGGAGAAAATATTTGACAGCTACACATCAGACAAAGGACTGATAACCAGAATATATAGGGAACTGAAAAAGCTAAATTCTCCCAAAACTAATAAAGAAATGGGCAAGTGAACTAAACAGAACTTTCTCAAAAGAAGAAATTCAAATAGCCAAACAACACATGAAAAAATGCTCATCATCTCTAGCAATAAAGGAAATGCAAATTAAAACCACACTAAGATTCCACCTCACCCCTGTTAGAATAGCCATCATTAGCAACACCACCACCAACAGGTGTTGGCAAGGATGTGGGGAAAAAGGAACCCTCTCACACTGTTGGTGGGAATGTAAACTAGTACAACCACTCTGGAAAAAAATTTGGAGGCTACTTAAAAAGCTAAACATTGATCTACCATTTGATCCAGCAATACCACTCTTGGGGATATACCCAAAAGACTGTGACACAGGTTACTCCAGAAGCACCTGCACACCCATGTTTATTGCAGCACTATTCACAATAGCCAAGTTATGGAAACAGCCAAGATGCCCCAAGAAAATGTGGTATCTATACACAATGGAATTTTATGCAGCCATGAAGAAGAATGAAATGTTATCATTTGCTGGTAAATGGATGGAATTGGAGAACATCATTCTGAGTGAGGTTAGCCTGGCCCAAAAGACCAAAAATCGTATGTTCTCCCTCATATGCGGACATCAGACCAAGGGCAAACACAACAAAGGGATTGGACTTTGAGCACATGATAAAAGCGAGAGCACACAAAAAAGGGAGGGGTGAGGATAGGTAAGACACCTAAAAAACTAGATAGCATTTGTTGCCCTTAATGCAGAGACACTAAAGTAGATACCTTAAAAGCAACTGAGGCCAAAAGGAAAAGGGGACCAGGAACTAGAGAAAAACGTTAGATCAAAAAGAATTAACTTAGAAGGTAACACACACGCACAGGAAATTAATGTGACTCAACTCCCTGTATAGCTATCCTTATCTCAACTAGCAAAAACCCTTGTTCCTTCCTATTATTGCTTATACTCTCTCTTCAACAAAATTAGAGATAAGGGCAAAATAGTGTCTGCCGGGTATTGGGCGGGGGAGGGAGGGGGTGGAGTGGGTAGTAAGGGATGGG